CTAATTACGGGAGGCTGTTTTCCTTCCTTCCCCCCTCTTTCTTTGCTTGCCCCCCCTTCCTTTGCGTGGCAATTTGAAAGACAGTCTGTATACATATGGATGAGTTAGATATATTTATTATTGTACATTTGTTTCAACCTATCGATGTTTCACTTTCATGTTTTTATATTGCTAAACCAGGGGTCATTATGGCTAATGCCAGATTAATAAAGTCTAAAGCCAAAGTGGTGACCTTTATCATTTAAGTAGAGAAAAATCAACCTGTTGCTAAAAGGAACTATGCTTATTAGTATCTAAATGGCATGCTTGATGGAATTTATTAGATGATTGGCCAGCCCTGATTTTCATATCACTTCACATGGATATAAATGATGTGGTTAAAGGAGTAAATTTGCTTTTCATGATACTTTCAGAAGATAAGAGCATCATACCCTTTTTCATCGCTTGCTGAATCCAAAGACAAACTATTGGTTTTTATTTGTTTGTAGAGTGAAAGTCTAAGGCACATAATTCAACCTGTTCATATTAAATGTACTATGAATCATGGTTGCTTTTTCCCCAAGTTTCTCTTGAATTATATTACCTTTAAGTTAAAATTTGCCATCAGTCTTATCCAAATTGCACATTTATTTCTATTTCCTTTAAAAAAAATCAATTCCTTGATTCATCTTCATTGAAGGCTTTGCGTTTTCATCTGTACAATTTAAGTATCCCATGTGGCGTGAATTGCTTTGTCTCATATAAAGGATCACATTTCCTGAAGGGGGATACAGGATGTCATGTGTTAAGGGTGAATTCCTAAAGAGTAGATAGGTTCTTACACGCACACAACAGTTCTTCAAACTGAGATTGTGCAGGTGCACCTCTCTGATAGCGTTCCCTTCATGTGTGAGGCTCACCTAATGGTGACTCAAGTTGCTAACAAAATCACGGCATCAAACTCCTGAAGATTGCTCCCAAATTTCACTTATTGAAATTGAAGAGTGGTCTCCTTACCAATATATTGACTATAGAATCTCCTGTTTGCAAAGTTTAACAAAATCAGTTCCTCACTTCAGGAAATACTCTGAAATTTACAAAGTTGAATTTCTTGATAGCATGATAAATGGACCTTTTAAACTTTATTTTAAATAGATATAGTTTTGCTTATTATTATATTACATTATGATGTTTATTTGATGTTTGCCAGACTCTACACTATACGAAAAAGTAACAGGTGGTTTTAAGTGGTGAAAATGTCATTTCAATAGAAATTTCATTAGTCTAACTATTTTTTAAAGTCTTATGAAAAGAAATTTAAAACACCCTTACAAAACCATACTCTGAATTTTCTAAGAGATTTACAAGACAGTGTATCACTGATTTTCATTCATGCGATGTTTCTTTAAGGTAACTAGCATTTCATTTTCTCTTACATGTTAGACACTGTTCATTGAAATATATATTTTAAATTATAAAATAGTACAGTATAGGAGCTAGATTAAATTATGTGAAGAAAAACAGTGTCATGTCTACTTACATTAATAAGTAGTAGGAATTGTCAGCAATGACCAGTTAGGAATAGTTAGCAATGACTAGTTAGGAATTGTCATATATGTTTTTTTAAAAAAAAGCGTTGTTGTCCCTTTGAATCCTCAGTTTATTCTATTTGATGCCAGTTGAAACCGCGGAATTCTGTGCTTCTGAATGTGCAAAAGCTGGAATGTTGGTATTCCAAGTCACAGTCTATGCCTTGCCAGATTAAATACGCAATAAAAGATAGTATCGAGAGTACAGTAACTTCGCTGAAGTGGGTTTGGAGTTATACTCTCAAATGTCATGTATAGTCCTTCCAACTGCTTTAAACTAGCTTGAAAATCATTCTAACATCTTTAATAAGTACCTGCAAGGCTTCATAATCACTAGCCACCAGAGAATCAGAATTAGAGGATAGAAAGAACGGTTTCTTATGTACAGATAGTTTTTAAGTGTCTCCGATCTTCTCCTCTCTAGGCATTCCATGGGTAGGGGTAAAACAGAACTCTAGAACACACACACAGGTCGTTTCTGCCAGTTCAAGCCTCTGGAGTTCCATTGGCCCTTAAACATATCGATTTTACCCGGGGATCTTCCATTGAATTCTTCCATCTAAAAGAATACTTCTCTTCAGCTGTCTTTGCACACAGCAAACGTTCCTATACATTCTAAAAAGAATACTAGAAGAAAACTAACTAACACTAGTAGGCAGAGCAACGAGGCCTCTGGGAAAAGCTGACCACACAGAGCAGTGGTTCTTAACCTTCCTAATGCCGTGACCCTTTAATTCAGCTCCTCATGTGGGGGTGACCCCCCAGCCATAAAATTATTTTCCGTGCTACTTCATAACTGTCATTTTGCTACTGTTATGAATCGGGCGACCCCTGTGAAAGGGTTATTCAACCCCCAAAGGGGTCGCGGGCCACAGGTTGTGAACCGCTGTCAAACACACTGTTTAAAATTATACCGTATAGCTCAACATTTTTCCTAGATTAAAAAAAATATTAGCCCTGTCTACCTTAATATATGAGTCAGAATCAATTCAATGGCAGTGAGATGACCTTAGTTTTTGCAGTTTCGAAAGCAAGAGATGTTATTAATGTGAAAACATTTGGGATATACTTTGCTATTTTCAGTTGCACATAATCGTTCTTTGAAAAGTTTCTTCGAGGCGAAATTTAGTCTACCGGCTTTAAGCCTGAGGAATTTTTCAAAATTTTAGTGAGAGTTCCAGTGATGGTTTACACTGACTGATCAAAGCAAGTTTTTAAGACAGTATTTTGCACACTTTTGGAATATACTGATACATAGTTTTCCCAATAACATAAAATACATTGAGTTTATTCTTGTAATATAGAGTCTACATCTGGATAATAGTACCTCTTAATGATCACACTTTTATGTATTCCAATGGCTTGTCAAATACACACATGTTCTGCATTTAAACCAATAGTTAATCTTGTGACTCCTTCAAAGGGAGTTGAAATAAAAGTACCTATAGTAGAAAATTTCAGTTTTTCTAGCATCAGGAAACATTATGGCTAGCACTTTTGTGTGAACTGGAAATTTACCCATCACTTGGGCCTAACACATGAACACATTTAGACAGAAGAGGACAAATGCTCTGTAACAGAAAGTACTTACATATGTGCAAGAGAGGAACATGACAGCTATTATGGAAATAACCCTTTTGAATTTTCCAACTTTCATGCCTACAAACTCACAACTACTTACTTTCCTCTTTCAAAATAACAGTTTAAACACTATGCTCTTGCATTTGGTTTCTTTTTAAGCACACTGAAATGAATATAATTAGAATTATCAACTCTCATTCTACAGGGTATTAACTACCAATTTTATGCTCTGTGCTAAGATACATGTGTAGTAAACTTCATAAAATTGGATACTGTTCATATTGTTTTAACATTTACACAACACTGCCTCTGTAAATCAGGTACCTTGAAATTTTTACACTTACATTTTACTACAAATGAGAAATAGTGAGACTAGAAAGCAATTGATAGGTGTGACGATGGAAATTATAGATGTTTGTTTCATGAATATGCATGGTAGATTTTTGACCCCTTCACTGATTTCATAATCTCATGATGAAGACCTAGTGCACATGACTTCAAAGCTTCAAAGGAGGACCTTCAACCTGCTGCTGATGGCCAATTATTCCATTTGTGTTCTGTTGCAGTGAAATTAAGCACCCCCTTGTATTAGTGCAAAGTTAAATATTGGCTGTATTTATTGAAAACAATTTACTTTCAAGTTGGCACTTCCATTATGCCAAAGGAAAGAATATTTCATGTTGAATCTAAGGTTTCAAATAATCCATCATGAAGACTGTCTTGCCTTAGCCCTCGTTGTCCATTCTTCAAAACCTTGTATCTCTACTTTTCTTGTTATTTTTTTTTAATGAAAAATAACAACTTTGTGTTTTTCTTCTTTTTCCATGAATCTCTCTGGTTTCCCAAACCAACTTTGTAGCAGTATAAAGGTCAAGTTTATACTGCATTTGAATCTTTAAAATTATAAGCATCTGAAACGGTAATTCCTTTCCAACAGCAATTACCTTTCCAAGAAAGATCATTCTCAGGTCATTCCTAAGTATATTTTGTGAAAACTGTCTACTATATTTTATGAAGATTTTATGGAATTTAAAACTGGACGCCTAGATGTAGACGCAGTGTGTACAGTAACTAACACAACATTTGCATCAATTTGCTTCGAAAGGAGTAAATTTACTTGCAGCATCAAGTAAACCATCGCGTCAAATTTTTATGAATAGTTTATTAACCAATTGCTTCAATACAGTACGTACACCCCCCACCGACCCTCGCAGGCAAGAATCAATGGCTGTATTCCACTAATGCCAATGGGAAAAAAAAAGGGTGGGGAGGGCGTAGCAAGAACGATAGCATTATATTTTTACGGCACCACTCAAAAGGGCTGCGCAGTGAGTTCAACGGGTGGGTTGAAAACAAAATTCAAAAAACAGCTGCCTGAACTCCAGCTCCCCGCAGGTTTCGCGCTGAGCAACCAGCAGGGAGGGCGCCATTTGAGCTGGGAGCCGAGAAGCCGCACGCGTAGGACCCGGGCCCAGGGGGGCTTTTAGGGACCGCTGGGGGGAGGGTGGCGGGAGCGGTGACAGCCCCAGGTGAGCGCCAAGGGGGAGAGAAAGCAGCGCGCTGGTCCCCAAAGCCCGGGGGCCGCCCCCGCGCTGGGGC